GCTATTTTTTGGTTGCAGCCATTATTGTTGTTTGGCGGGTCCGGGCTGGATTCGAACCTGCCACCTTAGGTGTATGTGGCTGGCGCCTTAGCTGCTTGAGCCACAGGCGCCAAGCCACATACTCAAGATTTGAGTTATACTGTCATAAGCCAAGGATTGCTAGGAACCACCAGAAGCTAGGAAGAGGCTAGGAAGGATCCTTTCCAAGAGCCTTCAGAGGGAACATGGCCCTGCCAACACCTTGATTTCTCCAGGCTCTGGAACTGTGAAAATCTCGGCCTGGTTGGATGCTTCTTCATAGAGGATAGGAGGAAAGGAGTAGGGCAGAGCAGCAGAAACTCGAGAAAATCTAAGACTGTGTAAAGTATTAACAAAATCATCTGGATGTGGAGTGTGGTGGCTCATGCTTGTAATCACAGCACTTTGAAAGCCTGAGGCAGGAGGATCTCCTGAAGCCAAAGGTTCAAAACCAGACTGTAAAATGGTAAGACCTCATCCCTACATATTTTTAAATCAACTTGCTTTGAGGCTGGTCTCAGTGGCTCACGCCTGTAACCCTAGCACTCTGGGAGGCCAACACAGGTAGAATGCTTGAGCTCAGAAGTTCGAGACCAGCTGAGCAAGAGCAAGACCTTGTCTCCAAAAATAGCTGGGCCCTATGGTGGGTGCGTGGAGGCCCAACTACTTGGGAGGCTGAGGCAAGAGGACTGCTTGAGCTCAAGAGTTTGAGGTTACTGTAAGCTCTGATGCCATAGCACTCAACCAAGGACAAGAAAGTGAGACTCTGTCTCAAAAATAAATACATAGGCTCGGCACCTGTGGCTCAAGCAGCTAAGGCGCCAGCCACATACACCTAAGGTGGTGGGTTCGAATCCAGCCTGGGCCCGCCGGGCGTTGTGGCGGGTGCCTGTGGTCCCAGCTACTTGGGAGGCTGAGGCAGGAGACTTGCTTGAGCCCAGGAGTTGGAGGTTGCTGTGAGTAGTGAAGCCATGGCATTCTACCCAGGGGGACAGCTGGAGGCTCTGTCTCAAAATAAATAAATACATACATACATAAATGAATAAATAAATAAATAAACTTGCTTTGGAAAAAGTAGATTTCTTGAATACAGAGACATGCTTTTAATTTTTTATTACAATTAAAATGACACCAAAGCAAATCAATTAATTTCAGTCAAAAAACTCATGTTTACATATTTATAACTGTACAATGAAATATATAAAATGTTTTCACATTTCCCACTTCAATCATCATCTTCTTCCTCTTCATCACTGATCACATACTTCTTATGCTTTTTATTTGCCTTATCATCATCTTCTGCTTTTCTCTTTCCAGAAGGCTCACCTTCCTAAACAGATAAAAATTTTCATTATAGATTTTTCTAAGAGGGAACACTTCACAAATTTTTGTGTCATCCTTGCACAGGGGCCACACTAATCTCTGTATCCTTTAGATTTTAGTGACGTGTGCTGCCAAAGTAGCATGTAAACATGACATTTTCGTAAATCCAAAAGTCAACAGAAAACATTTTTAGGATAGCTTATCAAAAATAACTCTGAAAACTCAAAGTCACTTTTAATAAGAACATTTAACAGAGGAACAAAACTGGTGGTCAAGGTTTCAGATGTCCAGTTTTCAGATCTACAGGTATTAGAGACGGTCTAAAATGACAACTGTGCAAAGTTCATCACAAACTAACTACAAGACACAACTGCAGACCCCCATGGATTGTAAGGGAAGTTGTAAGGGATTAGCAGCTACGAGCTCCTCTTTCACAGGGAATAGCTGTACAGAGGGAAAGCAGGAACTGGACACAGCGTGCGCCCTGGGAAGGGCTGGGGCTCTCTCAGGGAAGTTCAGCCTGTATAACCACTTGTCCTATCAGAATGATTTTACCATGATCAGGTCATTTTGCACACAGCATTTCACCTGTTTCATTATCTAAAATACAGGATTTTAAGGACTCAATACTTTTATAACAATTTCTTGTTTCAGATGTACTCAAAATTCACATCACCAAAGTTTTTAAGAAGTTTTTTTATTTTTTATTTTTAGGCAGAGTCTTACTATGTCACCCTCGGTAGAGTGCCGTGGCATCCCAGCTCACAGCAACCTCAAACTCTTGGGCTTAAGCGATTCTCTTGTCTCAGCCTCCCAAATAGCTGGGACTACCAGCGCCCACTACAATGCTCGGCTATTTTTTGGTTATGTTGTCATTGTTGTTTGGCAGGCCTGGGCCAGGTTCAAACCCACCAGCTCTATCTAGTGTATGTGGCTGGTACCCTAACCACTTAGCTATAGGCACTGAGACTAAGAACATATTTAAAGAAATTAAAAGGCCTTCCATACACAAGCTTTCTCTATTTAAAATCATTCTGAATAATAATTCTAGGCTCGGCACCTGTAGCTCAGCAGCTAAGGCACCAACCACATACACCAGAGCTGGTGGGTTAGAATCCAGTCCAGGCCTGCCAAACAGCAATGCAACTACAACCAAAAACAAATAAACAAAAAGCCAAGTGTTGTGTTGGGCACCTGTAGTCCCAGCTACTTGGGAGGCTGAGGCAAGAGAATCACTTAAGCCCAAGCACTGGAGGTTGCTGTGAGCTGTGACACGAGGGCTCTCTACCCAGGGCAACAGCTTATGACTATCTCAGAATAATAATCATAATCATAATTCTGAATAATATTGTAATAGAAAAAAATAATTCAGGAAGCTATTCAGATATATCAACATGTAAAAAATATCAAATATTGGGCAGCGCCCATAGCTCAGTGGGTAGGGCGCTGGCCACATACACTGAGGCTGATGGATTGGAACCCAGCTTGGTCTTGCTAAAACAACAATGACAACTGCAACAAAAAAAATAGCTGGGCGTTGTGGCAGACGCCTATAGTCCCAACTACTTGGGAGGCTGAGGCAGAAGAATCGCTTAAGCCCAAGAGTTTGAGGTTGTTGTGAGCTGCGACACCATGGCACTCTACCAAGGGTGACAGCGTAAGACTCTGTCTCAAAAAAAAAATCAAATACTGATTAAAATGAACTGACACTGACATGACACTCCAGAATGCCAGTAACCAGCCCCCTCACCAAAAATTTAATAAATTCAATAGAAAGAACAAATGGTTTAAAGGCTACAGTTGGGGAAGTTGGGCATCTTGCTGCTGTGACCACAGGATGCTTCCAGATGTAGAGCAACCTGGCATGCCCGCTTTCTTCCTGGTGGTCCCCAGGGTTAGCCCTCTGAAGGATAAGACAGCATCACAGACTTGTTTCCTGCCCTAATATCCCAAATGTGCATCTGCAGACCTGAAGCACCAGCTACAGGAGAATTCAAAGGGGAAAAGGAATCCATGCCAAGTCCTGCTCCACTTACAACGTCCTGGGCAGTCAGCAGGAAAGTCACCCAAATAGCAACACTGAAAGATGAATCCTCCCTTTAAGGTGTGACAAGGGCTCCTCCCTTTCTACTCCCCAACATGGAACAAAGCCAAATTCTTCTCTCCCAACCCCACATCAGCACAAAGAGTACATTCAATCACACTATTTGCCCTTTATTTTCTTTCTCTCTCTTTTTTTTTTTTTTTTT